ACTCTGCGGCCGGCTCAGCGCGCCCTGGGGGTGGGGCTGGCACAGCATGCGGTGTGTGTGTGGGGGGGATCTAACTGCAGTCCCTGCGCTTGCCTAAGCTTGCCTAAACAGGCGCTTTAGTCCGTTGAGCTATCTCGCCGGCCCTCTCTTTTTTTCTTTTTCTTTTTCTTTTTTTTTTTCTGTCCTTTTGAGACAAGGTTTCACTTTGCAGTTCAGGCTGACCTGGAACTCAGTTAGTAGCCCAGGCTGGCCTCAAATGCAGTGAACCTTCTGGGTCAGCCTCCCAAGTGCTGAGATAACAGGCATGAGCCACACACCTATTTTGATATGCTAAAATCTTCACTCTATTAGAGTAAATTGTTACAATATAATTTTCCTTTTGGTGGGGCCGGGGAGATAGCTCAGTAGAATAAACACTTGCCTGGCAAGCGCAAGGGCCTGAGTTCAATCTCCGGTTCCGCCAAAGAAAATGTGCTGCTGGGTGGAACAACCAGATCGTGGCCCGCAACTCCCCCCCCTCCCCCCATGGAGCGCTCTCTCCTGCACTTCCTCCTTCTGCCAGGTGAGGGCGGAGCAGGAAGGCCCTTTCCACAGGCCAGCGCGATGCGGGGCCTTTCAGCCCCCAGGACTGGGAGGCATTAAGACCACGGAAAACACACCCGTAAATCCCAGCACTCTGGGGGCTGAAGCGGGAAGATCCCAAGTTCAAGCCTAAACTGGGCAATTTAGAGACTCAGCAAGACAGTCTCAAAAATACAAAAAAGAAAAGAAAAGAAAAAATTTAAGTGCTGGAGCCGTAGCTCAGTGTGAAAGCCTGGGGCTCAATCCCAGTACTGCCTAAATATGTACATACATTCAGGTAAAAGAAAAAGTAAAATTGTGCACATAGGCAGGACATTATTATAAATTAAAGAAACTAAAACCCCCGAAGTTGGAATGACTGAGTTCCAAATAGGACTAAAACTTGAGACAGACTTCCTGGTCCAGAGTTGAAGGGGCATTGCCAGGCTCTCTTGGGCATCTCCTTGGGGACCCCAGCCACTTGGGTTCCCTGAATTCTGCCTTGTGTGCAGCTGCGCTGTCAGTCAGGCCCTCAGATGACACTGGAGACAGTGGCTTCTGGCTGACACTGAGTGAACTGACTGGTGTGTGTGTGTGTGTGTGTGTGTGTGTGTGTGTGTGGAGTGGCTGGGTGAGTCTGCGACCCAAGAGCCAGCAGCCACGGGACAGCAAGGACACCAGCCCTTCTGCCACCTCAGGAAGCAAAACCCCTCAAAAGAGCCAGGCTTCCTCTCAAAGGGCCAGGAGATTGGTTTCTTTCACAATTTTTGAAAGCGGAGCTTTCTGAGGTCCTGCTTCGCAGCCCAAGATTCCCAGTGTTGCAGCTGCCCTGCGGGAAAAGCACAGCAGAGCACAGGAGATTGGTAATGGCCCAAGAGCCACCGCTCGCAGACGGACGTGTGACTGATCCGCTCATTCCCGACGGATGCTGGCTTTAGAACGATTCTCGTCTCACGTAGAGGCACATGCTAGCTGCGTTTTCTAAGTGATAAAGCAACACAGAAATGCTAGTTGTTTTGACAACCCTTATCCCATTGTAGTGTACAAATTAGGCTGTAATTGCAGGTTGGCTTGTTCATTAGACTGTGAGCTCCCATCAGGGAAAATCGCTGCCCCTTTTATGCCCTCTGTCAAATGCAGGGAAATGGAAATTAATGGTTGTTCAATGGATGACGAGAAGAAAACAATTAAAACAGTGAACGCGAGCACAGTAGGGACAGGGGTCTCTGTTATTGTAATTGCCTCCGTCTTACCACATTCTGTTTCTCTCCTCCCTCCCTCTCTCTCTCTCTCTCCCTCTCTCTCTCTCTCCCTCTCTTGTACTGGAAATTGAACCCAGAACCTTCACACTGCGCTCCATCCCCAATCCTTTTTATTTATTTTACTTTTTTTTTAAAGTAATGGTTTTGAATCTTTTAAAAAACATTTATTTATTTTATTTATGTGTGTGTGTGTGTGTGTGTGTGTGTGTGTGTGACCAGCTCAGCCCACCAGGGGGCGGGGCTGGCTGGCATGTGGTGCTGGGGGATTGAACCCTGGTCCCTGTGCTTTGCTAAGCTTGTTCTAAGTAGGTGCTTTAGACCACTGAGCCATCTCACCAGCCCCCTTTTCATTTTTGATTGTGAGACAGGCTCTAACTAAGTTCCCAGGCTGGGCTAGAACTTGCCATCTTCCTGCCTCAGCCTCTCAAGGATTACAGGTGTGTGCCACCATGCCAAACTTTGCTGGGGCTCTTCTTTGTTCTCCAACCCCAACCCCTAAACTGCTAGCACCATCTGGACTTGGGCTTCCTTTCTTCCTTCTGTTTCCTCTTTCCCCAGCAGCTGCATAGGACCGGGATTTCAGAAGCCTTAAAAGCTGGAAGGGAATGTCTCCATCTGCTGGTGAGAAGAGGAACTACAAATCAAAGTCATTTGCTGTTAGACTTTGGTCTGGCTGTCTTGTCTTGGCTACCTTGCCCTCTTCCCCTGCGTATATTACACTAACCCCGAGTTGAGCTTGGGCAGTGTAGCTGAAGACATTTGTCACTATTGTCATATTCCACACATATTTACATGGGCCTTCACTTGTGCAAAGATAGGTTTCACGGAGCCTGTAGTTGGGTAGCAGGGCTAAGGACATCGATAACTATATTCAAAGTTTTAACGAGCTTCACAGAGGGCTTGAGGGGTAAATAATATTTATGCTGATCAATTAATGTATTTTTTTTATTTATGTGTTTGGTGCAGGGTCTCGTAGTGATCCTCCTGTTTTCAGCCTCCCCAGCTTTAGAATTACAGACATGCACCACCCCACCCCCCACTGTCACGGCTCCAGGGGCGGGGCCAGTGTGGCATGTGGAACCGGGGATCGAACCCTGGTCCCTGTGCTTGTCAAAGCAGGTGCTTAGTTCACTGACCTATCTCGCAGGCCCAATATCTTGTTTTCTTAAGAAAAAGTACTGCCCAATATGATGATTCATCATTGCCTAGCATGAACTGGCTACAAGGTATACAGGGCTTATTTTTCCAAATTACCTAAACTTATCTCTCTTGATTAAAATACACACTAAACATTGTGCAGAAAAAAAATAAACATTGTGCAGAAACATACTTTTTTTTTTTTCTTTTTACAAATAAAGCAACCAGCAGAATTCAGTGCCAGGGTCTGGGTAGGACTTAGGGGCCTGCTAGGCCTCTGGCTAACTCATGGTGACTCAGTTTCCTTTCCTTGAAGAAAACAGAGACTTTATTGAGGACAAATGTTATGAACAAGGGGCTGGGGGGAGATGGCTCAGTGGAATAAGCCCTTCCCTGGCAAGCGCAAGGCCCTGAGTTCAATCCCCGGTTCCACCAAAAAAAAAAAA